AAGACTAATAAAAAAAATCAGAAGAAACCAAAGAAATTATAAAACGAGAAATTAATCCTGTAGTTTTTAAAAGTGGGAATCGCAAAAATGATTGGTCTGTCAGGAGGAAACATCCTGATTCAGGGCCAATCAAAAACCGAGATGGAGACTGTGTTCAACAATAAATAATGAACTTCTTGTAAAAGATGGTTCTACTCAAAAATTTGTTGTTTACAACTACCGGATTTCAAGCTTAAAGCTCATCTTCAATTGAAATTTGAAAGGAGTTATGAACGTCCTTCGAGATGAAGTAAGAGTGAACTCGCCGTTCCCGCGAACGATACGTTCAAATTCAGAAGCTGGTTTTTTTTTGCCGCTCAATTTTTGAACATGTGAAAAACGTAAATTACAACACAACTAAATATTATCTTAAGACCGATAAGATAACATTAGTTGTGTTGTAATTCATGTTTTTCGCATGTTCAAAATGGAGCAAAATCAAATTAAAACCAGCTTCTCATTGGAACGTCACGTTGGCGGTAGATCGGCGGTTTTAACTCAATTCATGTCGAAAGACACGCTTGTAAGTTGTAACTCTTTCAACCTGATGATGAGCTTTGATGATGAGATGATGAAAACCGGATAATTGTTAACAACAAATTTGTGAGTATAACCATCTTTTACAAAAAGTGAATCTGTATACTCACTTCACCTTCATAATTTCTATAAATAATAACATGGAGGGGTTGATGCATAAATTAAAAAAAAAAGTCCCAGAATTATTATTTACAATATTCCTTAAGAAATTACAAAATAAAATGCAATTCAAGCTATAAAGGAACAAAGTCCTGATCTCTTTCAGTCTGATAGTGTTACAGAATAAAAAAATATAATTAACAGTAAAAATTTCAACAAAGAAGGAATTTAGTAATTGAATTATTCGGAAATCATGAGATGTGGTCTGGTGTGATGTAAGTTTCAGAAAAACATTTTCTTTATCGTGTCAACGTTTCGAACTTTATTGAGTTCATCTTCAGGGCCTGGGATTTACAAACATTGTTTAAATTTAACAAATACATGTAGGATGTGGAAGAAAGTGAATTTGTACAATGCAAAAAAATATTTTTTACATTCAGTCAAAAGCCAGTAATTCTTGTAAAGTAGTATAAGCTGGAATTGTTGGAGGACTGTGAGAAGTGATAAGCTCAATTCTGTGCACACATGTATGTAAAATCCAGATTTGAGCTTATATAAATCAGTAATAAATCAGAAGCAGAGAATAAATTAGTGCCTTTTACTTTTTGCCGAATAAGAGAAAATCAATTCAGACTGCATAAACTGTCAACCAGCTATGTAAATACGAGATACGCCCTCTTACGTTTATGTTCAGCCAGTTTCTTTAGAAAACAAAATTTCTGATTGTGATCGATACTTTTTACCATTTAAAAGATAAATTTTGTCTTTACAGAAGTGTTAGTTTTGTGAAAAAATTAGGATTCCTTGTGATTTAAAAAAACGTCAATGTTGTATGGAATGATCTCTGAATAATCATTGACTAACGGTCACTAAACACCACACAGTTGTATGGAATGTGGATCTACAGAGTCTTTTAGTAATTTTTGTCCTTTCCTTGGTCAATCTGCAAATTAAAAAAGAAAAAGAAAAAAAGAAGATATTATTACGATATGTTCCTCACCAGCCAAGTTACTCCATGACTCCTTTGTAAATATACTAGCTTTAAAGCAGGTAAACAATATAGTTAATGTTAAGAATAGGAAGTTAGATTTCATATTTAACAACGTTTTCAACCCATAGTTCATAAGTCTTTGACTAGTCTTGTTAATGAAGACGATTTTCATCCTTCCTTAAATATTTATTTATCTTATAAACTTAGTAAATATTTCCTAAAATTCTCTAATTTTGAATACAATTTTTTCAAGGGTGACTATGTGCGATGCAAAATTATCTTTCCCACCTCCGTTGGGATATTAATTTAGTATTACAGATGTAAATGAGTATTTAAATTATCTTTATCAATTTCTTTCAATAGCTGTAGAAATGTATGTCCCCAAAACCAAAACTGGCAATAATTACTCATATCCAAAATGGTTTTGCCCAGAACTTATTGAAAAAAATCAAGCAAAAAAGATGTATTGTTCATTGTACTCTTGATAATCATTATTACTCAAAATTTTCATCTCTTAGAGTTCATTGTAAAACACCGTCGAATATCTGCTATAAGAATTATCTTTCTGATACAGAAAACTCAATCCAATCTAATACTAAAAAGTTTGGGAATTATGTGAATTCTGTCAACATTTCTAAGGCCTCTATCATGGATTTAGGAAATGAATCTTTGTCTATTGGCCATGGCTTTGCTAATCTCTTTGCTAAATATTTCTCTCAAGTCTATGACCTCAGTTCTGATCTCCCCACTTCCCTACCTGAAACAACTTCTCTCCTTATGCCATCTTCTCACACTAACACTAATTACTACATCTCATACGATGAAATACTAAACTCCATCTCATTACTCAATGTAAAAAAGTCTTCTGGTCCTGATTCCATAGCCCACATATTAGTTAAACGTTGTTCTGCAGCTCCTCTACACTATATTCTAAACCAGTCGTTAAAAACAGGCATTTTCCTGCTTGGAAATGCACTTTTGTCATTCCTCTACATAAAGCCAGCGATAGATCTAATGTTTCTAAATACAGACCAATATCTATTCAATCCATGTTCTCCAAGATATTTGATTCCATTATTTGTAATAAACTTAAAAACGACATAAAATCTTTTATTATACATCAGCAACATGGTTTCTGCTCCAATAGCTCAACTGTTACTAACCTGCTCATATTTCAAAATTAAATCTTAGATGCAATAAACTCTGGACACCAAGTAGACTCAGTGTATACTGATTTCTCTAAAGCTATTGATAAAGTAAATCCCACAGTACTGTTAAGGAAACTAATAGATTATGGCTTCACCAGAACTTTTATGAATTGGTTATCCAGCTTTCTCTCCGACAGAAAACAAATAATCAAAGTAAAATCATTTAAATCGTGTCCATTTGCAGCTTCCTTGGGGTCCTGCAAGGGTCTCATCTCAGACCGGTTTTGTTTCTCTTATTTATTAATCTCTCTTATTTATTTTGCTCTCCCTTCTGCTCAATTTTTATTATTTGCTGACGATCTGAAAATCTATTTCAAAATTACTTCTCCTTCTGGTTGCTTTCATTTACAAAATTCTATCAATAATGTGCTAACCTGGTGCTCTAATAACAAACTTGCTCTCAATGTCTTCAAATGCTACACAATTGCATTCTCTCATAAGAAACAACTTTTTCTTTATCACTAACTCTCCATGATTCTCTTTTAACGGGAGTTGAGGTCGTAAAGGATCCTGGTGTACTTTTTGATCAAAAGCTCATGTTTAAAGAACATATCTCTTCAATAAAAAATAGATCTATGAAGATGCTAGGTTTCATCACCTGGTACACCTATGAATTTAAAAATCCTCTATGTTTTGTCCATCTTTATAAAGCTTTTGTACAACCCATACTAGAATACGCTACACCTGTTTGGAACCCATACTATCTAAATTATCAAAAAATTATTCAATCTGTACAAAACAAATAAAAACAAAGCTTTTTTATAAACTCAATCTTCCTCCGAACTCAGCCTATCCTGGAATCCGCTCTGAATTTAAACTTTTCGAACTGGCACTAAGATGGGACTCTTTGATATTGTTTTTGTATTTAAATTATTAAACAATCTCATTGATAGTCTCTCTCCTCTACAGCTACACGTCCCTTCACAGTCTCTCAAAACCTACAAACTATTTTATATTGAATTCCGAAGCTCTAACTACATGCTCTCTTCTCCTCTACATCGAATGATGATCAAGAGTAACAACATCTGCAATAGCATTGACTTCTTCAAAAGTTCTGTGCAATCTGTGTAAAACCATATCCTACAACCCTACTCTAATTGAATTTTCTTACCAGTTTATATTTTTTAAATGCTTTTATATTTCATACTGTTAAAAGTTTATTACAATTTATTTCATTTACTGATTCACCTAAATTTGGCACTCTAGTCTTATTATATATCTGTAAAGAGCTTTATTTTCATTAAATATGTTCCTAAATATTGTAGTTTCAATTGTCTTTCAGCTTTATTTTGTTTCCTTTGCCTTACTTTGGTTAATAATTATATCTTTCATTTTTGTTGTTCAGTATTTATTCTTTAATTGCATTTTTATATTTATAATTGTATGGTTTATATTTACCATTTATAATATTACCATGTATATACGTCTTTATTCTATTTGTATATATTATTTGTATTTTTTGCATATATTATTTTGTATATTATTATTTTTTGTTATTGTAAAATGTCTTTTTATAGTGGATTTCGATCCATAAATAAATAAATTACCTTATTGTATAGGACCATAAAAAACCTCTACAATGATCTAAACAGATCTATTGTGGATGACACTACCATATGTCCAACCATAATGAGACAAATTTAACTTAAAATTCATCACTCTGTAATCTGTATTGTACAGTAATAGGCCTTGTACTGTTTAAAAGGTCACTTATAACAACTCAGCAAAACGTATTGACACACATTGGTAACCATGACCTACATATTTGTTAGAAAGGTAGTCTTAGGTTACCTAGAACCGAGAATGGTATTTACTGCTTAAGTTTTTTTGTTTTTTAATTAAAACTGTATTAATTATCTGTCACTAGAAACTACAATTATTTATTTTATGGATGGTTATTTGTTTTATACTTACAAAACTGACTGTCTGTTATTAAAATACAATTGCAAGTTATTGTATTATTCACATTCATTGTTTGAAGTTTAGTCAGCTTTTGCAGAAAAAATTTTTTTTTTTAACATTGTCCCCATAAAATACCTCTAGATGTTTGAAGAGATATATTTTAGTGCATAAAACGTTTTCCCTCACTTCAATGGGCAACTGGTTATTAAATAATTGTTCAAAAATTCTAATTCAAATCCATTGTAATTTTATTCATAATCATCGTCATAATACAGCATGAGACAAGGCGTATGAAGATCTTCTGGAAGCCCGAGAAAGCGAAATCTTTGCTTTTCATCTTTAATGCCATTTTCTTCCAGAGTCTTATTCATCGCCAATTTCTTTTTGTAATATTTCCAAGTGTAACTTTTGGCATTTGAGTTAAAAGGCAAATACCGATCCCTTATTTGTTCTATTGTCTCTTCTCCACAAACCTGAAGGTTTATTATTAATTATTATTATATTATTAAATATAACAAAATTGAAACATCATTACAAAAGTGAAATGCACTATGTTAAAAAAAAAATTTTAAAAAAACTTTTAATTTTAAAGATCAGCAACAGACTAAATGAACTAAAATGTATAGATAGAGGTAATTTTAAAGTATAAGTTCTTATGCGCCTAAGCGCCTAATAAAAAATCCTAAATTAAAAAAAAATATATTTCCAGACATGCTTAACTTCTATCGAGAATTTATTATAAAAATATTAAAATATTTGACTTATGAACCTAGTAAGCTATACTTGCATTGAGCATAATCTCTTTTTGGGTTAAAATGTTAAGAATTCTTATGGGACGAATATTTTTTGACAGTTTTCCCACGTTGTATTTTTCATCCTTCCACCAAGGCGACTGAGGTGATGGCATCCAGTCTGGATCTGGGAAATCGGACTGTTCAGCGTGCGGTATTTTTCCATGAGGGAGATATGGCATGATAGCACCTGTTACCGGATGGACGAACGTCTGAATCTAGAAATTTTTTAAAACCAGTGTTAATTAGTCTTTAAAAAAAAGTGCTGTTTACACAACTATATCAATATCTAACTTAAATCCATTGAGAAGATTTTGCTGATGTGTTACATACGTCTCCATCCTCTTTAAACCAGTGGCTTATATCTTTCCCCGCTTCGGCGAGCAACGGTTTTATGAGAGATGTGTTGCGGTATTCTTGAATTAATGGCGTTAAATCCTTAACGACCCCGAGGAGAGACACCCAACAATCATCAGGCCGATAATGTAGGACAACTTCTGATGGCTTTAAATACGTTGTTCTCCAGTCTTTCTTTCCCATATCTAACAGTTATCACCTCCAATGACTGACAAACTTAACAATTTAAGTAAAGATCTATAAGGTTTAAAACATTCTCTATTTATTTTGAAGGATGGTTATAAAATCATATTATAACATATGTATTAAGGAATACAAATGATTTAGTACATTGTTTTAAGATGGGTATTGTCAAAATAATAATAATGTAGAAAAACTCTTACTTTACACCTTACATAGTATAGTAATAGATTACCTGATAAGTCTAAATGACAAATTCTTGCATAACACATTATTTACAATAAATTGGAGTGATTTTCTACCTACTTGATGGAAAAAAGTCTCATCCAGATTAGATAGAAAAATTCAATTTATGGTGGGTTATTTATATTAGTTGAACAAATAATAACAAAGTCAATACCTACAATAATTATAAGATAAACAAACAATTTTACAAGTAACAATGCAATATTAACTAATAAAATGAATTAACTATTACAGTAAAAATCGCTTATAATTACATTCAAGGAACTTGGTTCTTAAGGCTGATAGTGCTTATACCAGGTTGTTAACATAAGAATGTTGGGCATGCAGATACATATCATAAAATGAAAGTAATGTTTAAATCCTGATAACTATCAAACAAAAAACTGATCCTTTGTGATCCTGATTTATTGTGCCTACAACTTTTTAATATAAATTTTTACTATTACATATTGTTTATTTGGGGATTGTGAAATGCGGTGTGTCTGGTGTGTCGTAGGTTTAAAAAAACATTTTCTTTATCGTGCCATTTCAATATTTATTGAGATCATCATTTATACAATGATAGAAATTCATTTTTTTACATCCTACATGCATTTGTACAATTTAAACAATGTTTATAAATCCCAGGCCCTGAAGATGATCTCAATAAAGACCAAAACGTTGGCACGACAAAGAAAATGTTTTTCTAAACCTACGACCAGACCACATCTCATAATCTGAACTTGTTTTTTTTCTTATGTTCAACTTTGTACATCTTTTTTTAAAATAGAAGTTTCAACATCTTAACGTATACTTTTTTAAACAACTTGTTACACAAATATTAAGTTTTTAGCAATTAAATGTTAATTTTGAAAAATTAAGCACATGTGTTTAAAGCTCATTAGTAGCTATATCGGTCAGTATTTACAGGGCTAAGAAAGTAAAGTCATACTTTAGACAAGAACTTTGAAAATCGTAAAAGTTTATGTTCTAACTTATTTTGTGCTTTATTTGCTTTAAATAACAACAAACAAATAATCTAAATAATAAAAATAAAATAAATAAACCAATTAATCTTACTGGATTTTTAATACTCTCTTCATTGATGAAATTAAATTTTATGAGATACAGGGGCTTTATGGGGAAAAAGTTATGAAAGGTTGAAGTACCATAAAAGAAGAAATTTTCAAAAAAAATTAATAATTGTACTATGGACAATAGGGTCTTTTTAGTCCCAATTGAGATATAAAATGTGACGTCTGTTCACAGGATATCGTTTATATAATTATGTAGAGTGGAAAAAAAACCTTTTTGCTGTATAAATAATATAATTTATTTCATTATATACAATGCATACAAGAGGCACATGCTTTTAGCCTTACTTACCTAATGACCACATTTAAAATTATGATAAATGCATTCGACAATAACAATTGTTACTAATACTGTGCTTACAACTTTTACTTTACATGATACCCAAATAACCAAAACAAGTTTTTTTTTTAACGAGGGTTCGCAACAGCAGAGGTTATATCAACCCTCGGGGTGCCGGTGTTTTTGAAAAAAAGCCCATTTGTAAGTATGCCGGATTCGAATGCAGGGCCGCTGGATTCGAACCCGAGACCTTTACCTTACAGTGATGAGCGCCGTGTCAACGCCTAAACCATTGCGGCCACCGACGCCCCACCAAAAGAAGTTAAAATAAAACTTGGAACATTCGAATAATAATTACAGAAAATTTGTAATTTATTTCATATAACATTCTTACACAGACTTATGCTGCCACAAAATTTATTTTGGGCATGAACAAAAACAATAGAGGTTATACCAAAATAATACAAATCAACCAAACTTTAAAAAACAAACATATTTCATGTTTAATAACAGCTTGTTTAAAAAATTAAACCTCTAAAATTGGTTACCTCAATTCTCTTAATTTCACAATTTTAAATAAAATACAAAAACTTACTTCAGCCACATATATTTATTGCTAATGATAGAACTTCAAGCCCAAAATGACATTTTAAAATATTCTGTGACGTGTTAAAATACATTAAATAAATTCATACCAAAATTAATTGCTAAGTGTACTTTTATTTTTGAAATGCAACCGTCCTTTTTGTATTAAAAATTATGATTTATTTACACACTAGGTATAAAGGCGAAAATAATTTGGATCTATATGCTTTTAAATTTAGATTTTAGGAATTATTCACTATTATAATTACAATAATTATTATAGTAAAATATTTTTGTTTTATCACAATAGAAAGATCACAGACATTAAATCAATAATAAGAGGAATAGTTTTTTTTTTTTTTTTTTTAAATAGTTAAACTGTTTGTCTTATTACTCTTAATGACATATATTAATCAAAATATAGTAAGAAATTAATGTTTAAACTACTGCACTTGAAAACAAACAGGCACTACTTTCACTACACATTAACTTGCATCACAAATATTTATAATAAATAAGAGGAATATTTTTTACAATAACTTACTTAATATAGAAAGTATATTTAATACACTTATATTGAATGGCATTTCTGCTACAAACTATGTTGCAAATTTAAAAAAAATCTCAAATACTGAGGAGGAAGATGGTATCTTTTCAAAACAATTTATAAGATTAGTTTTTTTTTTAAGTAGTCTTTATATGTTTAAACTATTTGGCCTTAAAAATTGTCAAATATAGCACAATAGTGACAATACGAAAAATAAGACAAGGGAAGATGTACATAGTATCAAGATTTCATAATTTTCCAAGAGCTTAATTGGATCATAAATAAAAATGTGTGTAAGAATATTTAAACAAAAGGTACAATTTTTTAAAAGTTTGTTTATACCCAATAGTTTATGCTGAAAATAGTCAGTCTGTTTTTTACATATGTTAATCTCAAAATGGCAGTAATATGCTTTGCTTGACAAATGAGACATGCAGTAAAAATAATAATAATGAAATTACAATGGGAGAGATAGAGGTGGATAAATTTATATTTTTATTCACTTCTTTCAATAGAGTTCATCCTATAATTTTTGATATGAAATTTGACAAAAAGCATACACAACTAACATATCTGCCAACAAAATAATTTATGAATTTTCTAAACATTTCAAGTATCTTTACTGCATAATGGGATGAGCTATTTTATAGTCCCAAATTTGTACTTTTTGATTTAGATGGACTGAACAATAATTTTCCTCGATGAAATATTTTGTAACATCATTATTAAAATACTAAATTACAAAACAACGAAAGCGTCAAACGCTGTCAAGACGGTTTAAATAATGTGGCAATTATTATAAATGAGCTTATAACAAATACTTTGAGAGCTAACAAATTCACCCCTTTTTAATTATTTCATAAAATAGTTATTTGTAACCAAAGGGCAATTTGTCTCTACACGATGAGCTTTTAATGATTAAAATATCACATTAAATCAAGGTTCAATTTTCATTACAACACCATAATTAAACATATAGTATGAGTATTATAAAAACCTGCGAAACTATGAAGTCAGTTCTTCATTCTTATTATAGGTTTTGGACAGTGCTCCAACCAAACTGCAATAGCTAATTATAAAAAATCTTTAACATTTCACCGAGTTAAAAATGACTCAGTTTAACTCACTATTCTTATGAACAAATTCTGCTTATAATGAATAAATTTAAATCTTTATAATTATGGACGACACAGCATCATTTCTGTAAAAAAAATGGTATTGATGTACGATAGTAATAGATAGCAAAATATGAGAAAAAAAATACCGATTCAACCACGTAATTCGCCCAATTGGTAGGACTGTGTGGTGGACCTTCTCCGCCCAATTCAGCAGGAAGAATGTTTATGTTTACATGCTCATGTAAGGTACTCATGTTGTTGCCATGAACAAAAATCTAAAATAAAAGAAAAGTACAACTTCTTTATCAATGTTCTTAACAAAAATTTATGCTCAGTTTATTTCAGTATTACCCTAATGAAAATGAACAGCAATGTATGATATTGGGATAATACTAACAGGAGAGGCTATAGTTGTGGGATCACCGATTTCAATGACTTTTAGTGATACTAGGCCAAAAAATATTAGACATATGTTTGAGGGCCCCAGGAGACAAAAATTTTTTTTGGTATACGAAAATTGCATTCATAAGCTGCCTCTGCTCACAACTCTCTCAATCAATTTGAATGCTATTTTAAAGGATGTGGTACATCAAAAAGTATTAGACACATGTATAGGGGTTTTTTAGGAAATAAAATGGCAGAGGCAGCTTTGTGAATGCTATTTTTGGTCATGTTTAAACCTAAAATATTTTTCTTGGCTCCTGGGGCCCCTTGGACAGAACCCTCAAACACATGTCTAATGTATTTCAACACCGCTATTAAAACTGTAAATTTGAAGGGAAGAATAGACTAAACGAGCTTTCTGTGTAGTTATTTTTTAAGTATATTTACATGATTGAAAAAATTGTTTTCTTAATTGAAAATAATTTATTTAAACACAATGTCTTAACCACTCAGACATGCCATCCATCCCCTTAACCATATTTTTATTTTTTTAAAATTATATTTCCATAATTGAAAATAATTATTTAAACACAAGTCAGATGCCTTAACCACTCAGCATTAACCATATATATATAAAACGCGGTAAATCTGGTAAATTTTCTTTGATTAAATCCTACGGAAATATAATTAAAAAAAAATATATATATTTATATATTTTAAAAAAAATTATATTTCCATAGGATTTAATCAAAGAAAATTTACCAGATTTACCACGTCCCCCATCCTATCACAATCGTATAAAACCGCAGAATATAAATTCACATTTCAGAACAATTTCACACCACACCAATAAGACACCACAAGAATAGCACAGCACTTTATGTGAGGATGAACTACTCGGTTCAAAATTTATATTTACATCTGTATTGTATTTTTTCCAATCAACATGTTTTGTATTTCGCCCCGGCCCTGAAGATGGCTCGAATAAAGGTCGAAATGTCAGCAAATAAGTTAAAAAGATATTTTTCTAAACTACCTCATTCTTGACCACTCCTCACGAATCCAACAAATTATATTTCCATAATTGAAAATAATTTATTTATATATCAGTCAGATGCCCTAACTAATCAGCCATCAGCCGTCTCCACAACCATATATTGGGTTGTCCGGAAAATAATGCAGGATTTTGGTATTAAACAAAAAAAAAGAAACTAGTTACTTTAAAGCAATGTTCTTTAATCAAAATAATTTCCCATACTCTCAATACATTTCTCCCAACGTGTTGGTAACTTATTAATTCCGTCTGAGTAGAATTCAGAATTTTTAGAATTGATAAAGTCAATAAATGCATTTTCCAGTTCCGTTTGATTTTTGAATATTATGTGTTGTAAGTAGTGGTCCAGGTGTCTAAAAAAATGGTAGTCAGTAGGCGAGAGGTCCGGAGAGTAGGGTGGGTGAGGCAAAGTTTCATAGCCAAGCTCCAATAATTTTTGTGACGTTACACGTGACACATGTGGTCGAGCGTTGTCATGCAACAAAATGGGCCCTTTCCGATTGACCAAAGAGGGCTTCATTACTGCCAATTTCTGATGCATGGTATTAATTTGGTTACAGTATGATTCAGCATTGATGGTTTCGCCAGGATTTAAGAAGCTGTAGTGTATTAAACCAAATGAAGCCCACCATACCGTAACCATTACCTTTTTTTGATGAGTTGGGGGCTTTGGAAAATGTATTGGAGCTTCTCCTTTGTCGAGCCACTGTCCAGAACGTCTAGTGTTATCGTAGAGAATCCACTTTTCGTCACATGTAACAATTCTGGCCAGAAATGGGTCATTTTTGTTTCGACAAAGAAGTGATGCACAAACATCAAAGCGCTGATTTTTTTGGCGATCGTTTAATGAGTGTGGAACCCAATTTTCGAGTTTTTTCACTTTTCCAATCGCCTTGAGGTGGTCAGCGACGGTCGTTTTACTGACTTTGAGTTGCTCTGCAAGTTCTCGAACAGTTGTTTTGGGGTTTTCTTCCACCACTGATCGCAGAACATCATCATTAAGAGAGGAAGGCCTTCCACGACCTTCTTCATCTTCAAGGCTGAAATCTCCCTCCCGAAATTTTTTAAACCACCTTTGCACAGTGCACTCATTAACACAACCCTCGCCCCAGACTTGGTTAATGTTTCTAGCCGTTTGGGCTCCGCTTCGGCCGAGTTTAAACTCGTAAAAGAAAATCGTACGAAATTCTCGCTTTGACATTATAAGGATGACTGAATTATTTCCAAGTAGCGGAATGCTACAGAGGTAAACAAACAATATCATTTGGAAGAGGATTAATAAGTGTTGACATTCATACAAATGAGTAATCCTGTAAACGTAAACAGAATATTTTATATAGATTTTTTTTAATGAAAACTTAAAATCCTGCATTATTTTCCGGACAACCCAATAGTTATTTTTTTTTTAATTTTATTTTATTAATTGAAAATAATTTATTTCAAGTAAAAATATATTTAATTTAAACCATTGAAACAGTCACCCTATTCTAAATTAGAATGAAACAAAATTTTCTTGCTTACCTTTTTCTTCGTTTTCTCCTTAAGAAAAGCTCTGATAATGGCTATTATTGGTTCAACATACCAAGGTTGGTTAATAAAATGAATTCCTTTAAATTTAGCCGGGAAGCAGTCTTGCAATCCTTCTATCATTAGCTTTAATGTCTTTGGCGTGAGATTTGTAATCTTTAACAAATAAAACTTTTTTTATATTGCATTTACAAGTGTGTAAATATCATAAAAGATCATAAAAGACTTAATGATAAATTGCTTACTTGTCGGAAAGACATGTTAGTCCAGTCGACTATAATGACAAAACCATTCAGTTGGTTTTCTATATCGACAATTAAAATTTCAAGCGATAACAGGATTGAGCGGTAGATAACGTCTAATGGATAGTTCTCTTGATCCCAATTGTTACAAAAGAAAACAAGAACACATCGCCCACGCCTAAAAAAAAAGAAAAAAAAATCATGTATCATAATCCTTAGATTATGTTATGAAAGAACATTCAATATGTTTTACAAAATAAAATCTGTTACCTAATCTAAATGAAAATGTTTACTTTTATTTAAAATTCAGTAAATCTTACTAACAACTAAAGGGTAATGCTACATTGCTTTATTACCAAAAATATTTTTTTAAAAAATTTTCTCTCCTAAGGATGGAACAAAAATGTAATCTAATTCTTCTCTCCAAGGTTATCTTGATCTTTCATTTTATTCTTGTTTGCATTTGCTCCCACTACCACTCTTATTAGAATGTTTACTTCCTCTTTTTGATAAGAAACATTAATTACATTTTAAGCGAAAGTTTTGTCTGAGGAGGAAGGATAAAATGCTATCAAGGAAACAAGGTAAGAACAAAAATGAAAACCTGCAAATCACATAGAAATTAAACTTATGCAGAACAACAACAATTAAACTTATGCTGACAGGACAAAACAAAGTTAATCACAAAAAACAAAAACAAAAAAACAACTAAATAAATAAAATAATAATAATAATAATTTAAAAGAGTTGAATTTGCTGTGCGGATTTTAAATGGCTTAAGATAACTAACAAATTTTAATCTTTGATTCTATAATTGATTGCTCTCTTAAATTTTTTAATATATTTTCTAGAAATAATTTTTGTTTACTTGCTAAACCACTAATTAGTTTTTTTTCACAATTGATCTACAGTAGAGATAGATAGTATGACATGCGAAAAATTGAATCAAGAAGGATACCTCAATATATAAAATTATAAAATCACTGATTGCATCTTTTTACCTAATTTTGTTCAATGTTATTAGTATTTCTGTCTAACATCGCAGAACTAGGTGGAGAAAAGGAGAACAAAAACATACAAGATAAAGATGGAAATTTGACAAGAATTGCCAAAAATCCAATGTACCCAACATTCTTCCTATCTTGGCTGTATCAATAAGCAAACAAAAATGTTGGCATTGGTGAAATGAATAAATGTCCGTTAGAAGTAGTAAAATGATCAATTACAAGATAGCGTGATATGTCTAGGATTCGTTTGATTCACATCAAGTTTAAATTTATTTATTCCATTCTATTATGGTAAAAATACAGTTTGTGACATTTTTACACATACTGAATGTTCCCCATGACAGGAAAATGATTAATTAATCAGTTGTGGTTGCTGGGTTTTAAAAAATTACAACTTGTTGGTTAAGTTTCCCACGCTACTGTAAACTACCACTTGTGATACTGAAATAGTTCCCAAGAGCTGTAGAAGTGCCTCATGAATTATCACTTGAGAAGCTTTGAAGTGTGTAAAAACCCCACTGTTTATTTTATCGAATCTGAATTAAAAACTGGATCTAATTCACCAACTTTAATAGTGCATAGAACTGGGTGAAGATGTACAAACATTCCACGTGTAATTTCAAAAGTATATATTTGTATAACAATTTACTGAATTCAAATATTTATATAAAAAATAGAGTAAAATGTGATACACTACAATTCAAGAACTCATTCTTCACATATATCAAGTTCTTTGGAATCTGTAAAGCTCAAGGTGGTGAATTTTAGCAAATCAAAACCTGGGGACACCATATTTTCCATAATAAAATCATTAATTCTATTAATGCATCAACACTAAGAGATATTGTCAAGTAAATGTTTAAATTTATTTGTTAATTTATATAGTTTGACATTAATATTACTAGAGAAAATAATCCAAAAATCCATTTTACAAATCTAAACTTGACTATTAAAAATATATTTCTATTCCTTATTAAAAAAAATATAAAAAAAAGTTCTATAGTGGATCTGAATGTTCAACACATTTATAGCAATAGCCATTTTCACTTTTTTTTTCCATTCCCACTCACTCTCTCTTTCTCTTTTGTGTGTCATGTATGTAAATTACAGTGTTTTAATCAAAGGCAAAAAGGCTGTCTAAAAATTATCTAATTTATTATCATGTCCTTTTCGCGTCCTTGTCTGACTAGCTGTCGACTTAATTTCCATTATTATCACTAAAGTTTTGTTCACACGTCATTCATTTAGTTTTTATAATTGATTTCTTTTCATTTTTATCCTGTACATAATTAAACATACTACAAATATGTACATTATTGTTATTTTCACTCAGTTACCCCAAAGGAAATATGTGAGAAACCAGCCAACACTGGCACTAATATGAGGTGTTAAGGGGAAGAGGAGGTGGCAGCCGTTGAAGAGTTGTGGAGAGTTTGGAATAAGAAAGTGCACAGTAGTAGTTTTGAAAGGTCATAATATAACTTTAAGAAGTAGGAAAAGATTTTGTAGATAGCTTTCACTAGCTTTCTGAGGACAGATTAAAAAGATTGAATATGCTGGGGATGGCTAAACTTCACTTGAAATGAAGTTTTAAACTAATTAGTAGGGTTTTTTGGTCCTGGCAGTCTTTCTTTAAGTTGCAGTCTACAGTCTCTTAAAGTTCTACATAAACCTGCTGTCTGTTACTATTTATTGTTGTAGTAACTTGAGTGGATAGCTCCATGCTGATGTTATAGAAGATTATTTTCAAATGGAAATGTTTTTTTAATCACTTAGTGTTGTCTTCTAATTGTTTGACAATTCTTTGATATTAATGTATTCTTACATACATACAAACATCATTCATGGTTGTTGGAACTTGTTTGGATTGAATTGCAGTATTGTCTAGGTAGGTGGTAAAGGCAGTTTACGGATAAATAGCTTTGTCAAAAGTATAAATGGTCCACAAGATAGCACTGAGAATGCTTTCTCTAGCGGATAGTTTGGCTCAGGGTGGTGCATTTATCGATGAACCATAGGAAAAACTATGCATACCTACTTAAATGGACTCTGGAGCAATTAAAAAATAAATAAATAAAACAAATTTCTTGGTAAACAATCCACTGATGAGAAATGAAAATGTGCGTAAATAAATGTATTGTTATGAGTGAACTTGAAGTCAAACATCGTGTTCAAAGACATCCCCTTCTGCCACAACTCAGTAGCTTAATCAGTCATACAAATCTCAGTTGTACTGGGGTGATTATCACAAAAAGTTTGTGAAGTAATGTAAAGCTGTAATTGGTTTATGTTTTAAAAGCCGGAAGATAGATGTAAATTTTGAACTTGATATGGCCAGCCTTACAGAAAAAAGTTTAGAAGTGCGAGGTCTGGTGAACAAGGTGGTCACTGAAGGATGTACCATGAGTTTCAATAGCTTTGTGTCAAAATATGTATCTCGACTAACTTGATGATGGTCTATAATTAGCGGAAAATAAACGTTTTGAATATTTCCATACATTCATGATGCAATACTGTAATACAATCATGATGTAATCCAAAGTTACAATTCAATGTCAATAAAACACATCTGTTTATTAACAATTTACAGCATTGTGTACAAACATGTTGCGATAATTATCTGATTGCAGTTGAAAAATATCCACCTGGAATTTGAAGGGGTACTGCATAGTGGCCGAACGGAATGCCTTCAAACATCAAATTTGACTTTTAAGTTCATATGTATAATATCATAAAACTTCTTTTTTTCTTTGTTTTTACAAACTTTACCAATGTTTTTATTTATGTTTTCATTGAGAAAAATACCTATACATTTTTTATTTTTTATCAGCGGATTTTGTACCTTACCAATTTATTTAAATATGGAATGATTTTTGTTTGTTTGGTAGATGGTATGGTAAAAAGGATACTAGGAATTGTTTGGTGGAATTCATTTATTAATAATTTTATATTGCAAAATTAGAATTAAATTCTTTCAGTGTTTTAATTAGAGTCCAAGTTAAGTTAAAACACCAGAATCCATTTAAGCAGGTGATGCATTGTTTTTCCTATGGGAAAATGCAAATTCAAGAAAGAAAAATTCAACATAAAAATCAAACAAAACACCAATAAGCAATAAACCATAGTGAACAACTAAAGCACAAAAGTTATGTTGAATATTTTTGTGCGTGCTTTTTTATTAGGTTAAAGTTATGTTTTACAACTTCTGTTTTGCTCTGTATTCTGTGTTCAGTGTACATATTTTGTCCAAATTTACTGTTTTGGTTATTTGTTGTTTATTGTCCCTGTTTTATATGTTTTGTTTAATTTTTCTTTCTTTTTGTGCTTTTTTATTAAGTTACAGTTGGAAAATAAATTTTGCTTGGTCAAAAAGTTGAATTACTAGTTTAAACCCCCCATCATCCTTTTTCGTCACTACTTTTTTCCTATTTAACATAACATTTCTGCATTTTGGTCTGATGTAATTAACGATAAGGGTAGCTCTAATAAGTTTATTAAATGGATAAGTTGTTATGAAATTTGCCAAGCTCTGCCGTGAATTTTTCTGAGGTGCAAATGAAATTTTTTTAAACTTGTAAATTCAGCAGTTCTTTTAACCCAAAATTAAATTGAAAGTTCTACAAAAGGTTCCTTTTTAAAAGAAATTTAATGCTCTTTTCATTTTTTCTAATTTCCCCAAAAATGAATAGTCCAAGAGCTACGAGTAAATTTATTATGAAAAACGTATAGCTGAGAAAAAAATTGTGGGTTCAAATCCTGCTCGTAACATCAACTTTTTCATCTAAACCAAGACCTTTTATAAAAAGAATAATTAATTGAAATAATATGGTCAATTATGACCATTAAACATAAATGGATTAATAAAACAAAAAAAATGTTGCATACTCTTAATAAGTTGAGAATCGGACCATGGTTCACACGAACTTTTTTTGTTGCATTTGAGGTGTAGAAACACCTGATGAACTTTGTCGTACAAGTAATGAATCACCCTATAACTTAGTCTCAGTAAGTATTGATTGAAGTTAATTAGTCAACTAATTTTGACTGTCAAGGTAAATCAGTTTTTAATTAGTACAAGACAGGTATAGTATCCAAATTAACTGTTTTTACCTAAAGTTTGGTAATTTTTGGTCATTTTGATTTTCCTATCCTCATTAGCCCACCACTAAAAGGCAGCGGTTAGGTAGACCGAAATGACAGAAAATGAACAAGCTGTAGATTTATCACACTTTAGATTCTAGTACAGGAAATCTATCAATATTTGTATCTTGCTTGATTTATAAGAGCTGAAGCATGTCTAAATAAATGTATGATAAAGGATTGACATCAAATGAACTCATGATTAATTGTAATGATTAAACAAAATGGTAATAGTAGCTCATGATCATTACCTGTCCCTGTTAGATAAGACACCTGGGAATCCGTCATAAAGGGCTTGCTTTATTAAAGGGTCTTCCTTTGAAATGTTATCAAAAAGCTCTCTGTTTCTTTTCCTGTAGGAAAAGTAATTTGACAGCAACTGGTAGCTCTCCTCAACGTTCAATTTTCTAGCGTGAAGGAACCTCAGTAGGAAGTCGTCATCCTTCCGAGTTATATCTAAAACGTTATGTCAAAAATGATTATTTTAATAATTTTCTGCAGTGTTGAAGAGGAGTTACCTTTGTTTTCACCGCTTTCTACGATCGACTTCAAAGTCTTCAAAGCTTCGTCTTTGCTCAAGATTTTCGGCAGTGACGGATTGGAGCCGATTTCCATGTCGTGCTTATGGATCGTCCCCTTCAGGCCGTACACGCTGCTTGAAAATTCTTCCATTTCTTCCTACTGGAAATCACCACCGGGTGCCAACAATAATTCATGACATTGAACCAATTTTAAATGCCCGAACGCAGCGAGCATGAGACAAGAGGGCCGACAACATAACAGTAATGTCAAAAATCGGAGAAACCCGAAAGGAGGTAGACCCCATCATAGAAGTTCCCATGTGCTGGCATGTCTACATGAATGATCACTGGACTGTGGTCGTAGTGCGCCACTTCTAAACCACAGACATGACAGAGAGGGGATGTAGAAACAATTCATGAGTGTTTGCTTTTTTTTTTTTTTAAATATACATCTTAATTTAGACACCCAACAAATTATTTGATAACTACAAATAAGCTTTCCTTGCTTATTTAAAAAAAATTAAAGTTGATCTTAAATTGCAAAATATCAAAACATTCCAATTTTACACACTAATCCACACAAAATATGGCTGGATTTATTTTTTTAGTTTTGCTATAACTTTAATAATAAAAACAGCAAATTATAGACCAAGTTTATAATCATGTATTTCTTATGCCTGTTCATTGCTTGTGTGAGTGGTGTCTTAAGCTCTAAGAATTTTTTACCTGGAATTCTAGCCTTTTGCATTGGTTTTTAGGAGGCTTCTTTATTAAAAGAATAAGTTTGTTAGTTGCCGACCCATTTTCATAGAATTTAATTTATAAAAAGTCCAGATGTAAGAATAAGTTAATAAGAACATAAAGTGGGACTAAAAATAAACATTTTTCGGATAAATAAATTATAAAACATCTGGGACTATCATTCCAATTCTAAAGTTTGGATGACAGAGAAATTTTTGAAAAATGGTTGCAAAATTGGGACCAAAAACTTTGTCCTCCTTCTTGTGGGCAACAGCCTAGCATATCCCAGCAATTAGATTTTTTCTTCCTCCCAGCACAACATTGATGTTACAAGTAATTGACCAGGGGATTGTTGAAAGTAAATTTCAGAAAATAGTTTTACAAATAACGACATTAAAAATAAGAGAGGACCAAAGATCCCAGTATTATATGGTTAGGAATGGTTTAATGCTAGAAAATTTTTGAGGTTATTCAGTTATCGACCAACTTTGATTATAATCTGGTTTGGGGTGTTATTGGGTATGTGGTCCTTCAATCATACAGTGTATTATACAGTTGCCAAGCTTTCGGCTCTATATTTGGCCTTCCTCAGGGCAATGTATGACTTCCTAAATAAAAATAATAATGTAATAACCATTTAAAAGTCAACGATTTTTTAAATACACCTCTCTACACGTTTTTAACAGAAATATTTAATTTCTGTTTTAATTTCAATTTCTTACAGTGTATGATTCATTGAAGGACCACATACCCAAACCAGATTTTAATGCTAGAAAAGGCATGGAATTGTGTAAAACCTTCTACAATTTTGTATTGTTTCTGCCATACTGGATTCGGGATTGACAATCCTTCCACCTCTCAAATTCAAGAAATTAGTGAAGGGTTGCTTCAAGACGGCTTGCGATTTCCCAATTGAGCAGGATGTTCTGGGATTTGAAGATACAGACTTGACAACTCGTAGGAATAAAACAGATGAATAAATTGTTGCAAGAAGTTTCCTGCAGGGAAATTGATGAACATCTTTCTGACAAATTTTTTTGCCCAAATGTAAAAGAAATGTTTACAGCGGTAAGTTTTAGGCTTTCAATTATCATTTTGCAAAAGATTTTATTAAAGAACTGTTAAAGAACTCTTTTTATTTATTTAAAAAAAGTGAATAAAATTTAACATTACTGACTATAAATACATTACAGTTCGAGGTCCGATTGACCCATTAATTAGTAGTAATTACTATTTTTCAGTCAACCAATGAATTTTGTTATCATCTATAAACAATTTTGTCTGTTTTTTCACATTTTATTACATAATAATATAGTATGCATTGTTATTTTTTTGGAAGTTTATAAGCATGCATGATATTTTATATTTCATTACATGGACAGCAAAATTATTGAAAATATTTCCTTTTATTCTCAAAAGTTGACTGTTTAAGATTTTTAATAAACATTTATTTCCATAGAGCAATTTTTTCAATTTCTTAAAGCTGCTGATTTAATGAAAATTAATGTGGCCTTTGCTGTTTTAGTAGGCGGAGAACTCTGTTACCCTGGGGGAGGCGGCCGGGGCATCTGGCATGGGTGCTTTGCACATGGGTAAGAAAGAAAACCCTGGCTCTTGAGGGATGTGGAAGTTCTCAGCCTATGCACATCTATACAGTAGAGCCGAAATAAAATTAATTCAGTAATAACATCATGCTGTTTATACTGCTCATCCCTCTGTATTTTGGCTGGCCTTCTGGGCTTCCTCCTCTCTGGTTCTACGCGCACGGTGAGGAGACTGCATAAGTAAATGCTTTAAGGCAGACCCTTAATGGTTCTATGCCTTTAAAAATTAAAATAAATAAATAAATAAAATAAATAAATAAACAGTACTCACTTGGAATACAATTTCTCAGACAAACATCTTCAATAGCGAGAATTCACAGTAAAATACCAATATTTAAAATTTTAAAAAATGAACAGAATTAACAAGCCTTCCTTGTAAGATTTAATTGATTTTCCATGTTGAATCCATTATTTATTAAAAAACGTTCCACTTTCCTTCAAAGTAAATAAATTAAAAAAATATAACAGAAAGGACATTAATTTCCACATTTTTCTTGATCCAAAGCATTGATAAATAGCAACAAATATTGTTAAACTTCAACACACTGCAGGCCTCAAAAAGTAATCTAACAATTGAACAGATATTGTGCTGTATTGAGTGATTGATTACCTTTTAAAGGAAATCCTTGACATTTTGTTACAAAATTTTATCTTTGCAAATATATTGTGACTGACTTATGAAACAGGCTCTCCTTTATCCTCGTGGCATTTTATTTCAATCTACTGTCTACTCTTGAAAGAGATAGGACTACATTTATTAAGATGTAGTAAATCATTGAATTTTTATGAAAAGTCATATGAACTTATATTATTGCATTTATTGAATTTTCACTTGTTTTATTTAAAACGTAGTATATTAGTACATCAGGATGGGTATGTTGAACAAATGTACGGTTAAATATACGAATGATGTGGCAAACTTGAAAGTTTCATTGTTTGTGTTTTAATAACATTTTCCTTTCTTATTAACAATGTGCCAATAAAATAATTTCAGTGTCAATCTTGATTTTTTTAAACCTAAAAATAAGTATGCTATATGTTTCACATTTGAAGTTTTACATTTAGTGTATCTGGTTAGCACACTAAAACAACACAGACAAAAACTTTTCATTTCGAAATATTTATGGGTTGACAAACATGAAGTGGTTGTAGCATGCTCTAAATTTTTAATGAAAAATCATATATTTTTTGTACATCTTTTTCACTGATTCTCTAATATTTTGCCTTGTTTTCTTAAGTTGTTAGTCTCTGGGCAACCTCGGGTTGTAAAATTAGTATTAAAACAAGAAAACACATTTTGAAGTAGTATATTTCAGAGTGATTAGTAAGTTGTCTATAACTTAAAGTCTCAAAGCTATTTTAGCTATCATATAACATAAATAAGGCACTCATTGATTTACATATATAGTCTGCTGTGTATGCTTCATAAGCAAACTAGGGATTGCTGCTTACTTCATATCTCCACAAATATCGAGCATACTTGAGAGTAATATTTAAGAAAGGAGATCCCTGTTTACGACCAGCTTATCCCGAACAGTATTGGTCTCTTGAGCTTATCCATTGTTGTTTATAGCTCATTATTAAGCTTAGGGCTTTTTATCAGATTCCAAAGCTGTGTCAAGGAATCACATAGATATTCTTCAGGCCCAGCGTACCAACAGAGGACATGTTCCTTTGTCTCTTCTTGCACATGCTTGTTTCAGCCACTCCAGGTCAATACATAGCCTCTGGAGTCTGCAGTGCCCAGTATAGACTATTCTAGTTGTAAATTGTCCTAGAATTAGTAGTTTTGATGTTAGTTTCTGCGATGGTCATTTGATGAACTTTTTTGCAAGTATCCATTGTCTGATAGATCCACATTTTTGGAAGTTTGGTACATCACAAAAAGCTACATAGTCCTCATGAAACTTTCCTTGTCCAATTTATTGGTTAATTCATTGCCCTTCTTCCCTGCGGTAACCAGATAAGGGCTACCTAAGAGTAAATTCCAAATCAAATATTTTTGTTCTCTAAAAACAAAAACACAGCTAAATGGAATTTTTTTTGGTAAATTAGTACAATAGATAAGATTTAAAAAAAAAAAAATTATCTGATTTGAAATTTTCCAATTATCACCAAACTTTAAATAGTGAGTAATCAAGGTTTGAAATACATTTAGTACCAATCAACTATTTTGATGATATAAATACAATGGCATAAGGTACATTTGAATCATGATTGAACCACCTTGATTACATGGTGGTGCACCATGAACATAATTTAGAAAATGTTAAAAATTCAACTTGGTAGCAATAATAATAATAATAGGAGGTATTTTATAGCTATAATAATGAAGATTAGCAACCAACTATTGTAATTGAATTATAAATTGGGCAGTTCTCAGGAAATAACCAGGTATACAACATCAAGATCTTGACAAAACATCAAGTGACATTTGAAATAATCTTAATGCACGATAGTTTATCTAATAAATCAAAACATTTTATACTAAGGAATTACAAGGGCCAACTCTTTTAAGTAATGCTCAATGCTTTTTTTTTAGCTATTATTTTCTGTGAAAACTGTAATAATTTTTTTAAAATGAATTTCAGGATTAATAGTTGGAGAATAAATATGCACTTTGTTACAATTTTAAATAATTTGGATATTTTTGTCTTTACATTTCTTTCAGGTGAAAGTAAATTGTAAAACTATGATTAGGACTTACTTATGCTGGCTTTGGCCAAAACTTTTGTCTTTATTTATTTTATACTCAGAATTGTTTAAATTTTTTGGCCATAAACTTTTCAACATAAAAAGTACATGTTTATATATTGTTAAATATCTTACATTTAGTAATATGAACAATAACATTACTATACATAGTATGCAGTAACATATTTAAATTTTAATTATTGTATTAATTTATTTGCATTTTGTTGTTAGTTTTGTGATCATTAACATATTTATAATACTTATTACTTAAAAGTCAATAAAGTTATTTTTTAGTATAATAGATATTTTATTTATAACCAAATATATTTAGCATTCATAAAATGAATATAGTACATACTATGTTTAACAAAATAAAAGAAGTAAGTAAGAAAAAAAGCAAATGTTCACACTTTTGAATTGAAGATTCATCCTGCACTTTACGATGTTCACATTCTTTCATTATAATTAGCCACCATCAAAAAATATAATAATAGGTGAATCTGCTGGGAGACATTCAGCCAGAATTCTAAAATTATTCATGATACTGTGCCAACAAGTATGGGGTTGAGTTTGCCTAAATGAAATTAAATGTGTAAGTATTAGGAATTTTTTATTGTAAAGGTAAGTGCCTCTTAAGCATACTATCTCAAAGATGTACTTTATTATATAATGCTCACAATTTAAAAACAAATAAACCAATCATATTATCTGTTTATATTGGTAAAATGTAACATAAGAAATTTGATTAATTCATTCACTTTTTATGATTTAAAATAAGATACACGTTATTTGCTAAACACTTGTGTTTAAGTAGAAAAGGTGTTTGCTTTTCCAATAGAGATTTTTTTTTAATATTTAAAATAATTTTGAAAATACTATACTTCACTATGAATTTCTGAACAAAATGCTTGATTATTCATATTTAGGAAATAACTTTGTATTTATCAATGTTTATTTTATGAGGTCCAACCAAGTCAAATTTGGATAGTAGTATAAAATAAATCACTAATAATTTTGTGGTACAATGTAGCGTACCCACCATATCGGCTTACAGAATAGTCTTGGTTTTTTTTATTTGAAAATATTACAAAAAATATGTTTCCAGTCGTAAGAGATGGGGACCCTGTTTGGTCTCTTCGTTTCTACATGCTATATTGGCCTTTCATGCCTTATAGCATGGTGGGCAAGAAAATTAGTTGAAAAGCTATCAGTTGAATCTGCATTTAAAAAGCTCCTATTTCAAGAAACGATAGCAACGTGGGAACTCTGTGCATCATGTTTTGAGCTTATTATAAGTAAGTTTATCATTTTAAAACAATAATATTGATAACCAGGTTTTATAACAGATGAAAAAAAAATTGAAACATGAATTGAAAAAACAAGGAAGTCAAGTTGCTGAGTTCTTTATGATTGTATCTATATATATANAGTATATATAGATATGTTGTCCATATATATATATATATATGGATGTGTAAACTGGAAAGAATAAGTTAAGTTCAACAATTTGCTGAAAGTTTTGAGAGGATAACCTCTTCCAAATTGTAGAATCTTGTTAAAAAGTAATTTGGTCATTACTAATCAATTTGATCTGCTTATCCTTGCTGGCTGGGTCTGTCAGAAGCATTTCAGCATTTTCAGTGTTGGGTCTGTGTGAATCTTTGACCCAGTACAGATGGTGAAATGCCAAATTGCATCTGACAGACCAGCCTAGTGAGAATAGACAAACCAAACTGAGCAGTATTGATCAAATTACAGGTTCATCACATCGTAGACCCAACGGAGAAATCTCACATGCTAAAAAAACTAATTTCACGTAACTGCCTTTTAATAATAAACTGATAATCACTAAAAGCTTAACGATTGAAGGGTTTCCTTTTTTATTTTTACTTATAAATATTACTCAATATTATAAATATATAAACATTATTTCTATTATAAATATTACCTGTTTTCTTTGTTGCCATTTTTTGTTGTCAATGGTTTTAAAATAATAAATTTGATTACTGCAGTTGCTGATAACTATGGAGTTTACATGTATGCAGTTTATTTATTTATGCTGACGGTATGGTGGTCGAAAAATTGGGGCGATGCGACAGCCTGCCCGTACACACATTTTGAAGACGTGGCTGAAGGAAAGCAGTGGTTCGGCGGTGCTCTCTTAAAAATTGCTGCCCAACTTGCCGGAGGACTTCTAACTTATAAGTGATTCTTTCATTATAATTTTGTTTCATTAAAAAAAATTAGACATTTATTAGGTTGTACTATATGAATGCTTAGGTTGTGTTTGATGTTGTTTTTTCAGAAAAGATAATATTTAATTTCAAACTTACTCTCAGGTACACTCAATACCTGTGGAGCTTTGAAGTAAGCAGCAATCATAGAGGAAGAGCTTATGAAGCTTGCACAGCTGACCTTCAGGTAAATTGATGACACTCCATAATATTAAGGTTAAACTAGTCTTTAATAAATATTTTAATTATACAATTTACTCATTGCCGTATTTATTATGGAAAAAAAAAATTTTATTTTTAAGGTATCTACATTATTGGGTGCCTTGATTGAATGCTTTGCAACATGCATTTGCAGAATGTGTAGCCGACTTTTGGCCGCGCTGGAACCAAGATTTGGTGCTGAAATTGATGCTTTTATTGGGACATCACTTGTTGTAGCAGGTAACAAATTTATAAAAGCATTTTTAAATAGTCTCTGTATATTTTCAATAAGACATAATGTATAAAATTAATATGTATTAGTCAACTACGTTACTCCACTAATTGTAAGATTATCTGTGGTAATAATAATGCAACAACAAATATCAGTTTTCCTTGTTTATTGTTTATTCTGTGAAATAAAACTGAAATGTGTACAAACTAAATAGGTTTTTGTTGTATGATACAGAAAAGTTCTCATAACTTATAATATACTCCTGAACAGAGCATTGTTATTAGAGGCGGAAATCAAGAGTTCTAAATGGATTGCAATTTATTCAATTTTAGCATTCAATTACTCTGGGGGTTACTTCAATCCTGCATTGGCAACGTCGTTGAAATATGGGTGTCATGGGCATACGAACACTCAACATTTTATTGTTTATTGGATTGGATCCACTGTTGGAGCACTGACCGCAGTTTATCTGTACCAACATCCAACAGTTAAAACTAAATTAAAGGCACTTGTTGGCAACAAGCAACTTTAATCTACAAATTTCTAATGCAATTAAAAAAAGGTATTTAAATATCTATCGAAATTGTTTCACATGTGAATGAAAATTACAAAGAAATTTAAAAATAATTTCTGAGTTTTTCTTTGATTCCATTTCAAAATCTATAAAAAGTAAAATATATGTAAAATTATATATATATTTTATTTTGTTTCTAGTATTTTGAAAATCTGTATGATATAAACCAAAAATAAAATAGGCAAAGCACTGATTTTTCAGGTTGGCATTTTATATTTTTACCCTATTAATGATCAATGTTTTTGTAAGTTATCAGGATTGATTAATGAGAAAAAATGCTAAAAATTATGTAGTCTTTTCTGTTGTTTATAATTGATATTTATCACATTTTTTTTCTTGTGTACCCCCTATTCTATTAAACCATTGAAGATGTTCCTTCTAAGAAAATGAGCCATATCAATTAATTTAAATATGAATTATTGCAAAATTTTTCTCAGGCATTTTTTATTTCTTATTATGTGTTTAAGTGACAGATCAAAATGTCAACACTTTTTGAAAAAGTAAAAAAAAAATCAGTCTTTAATGAGTTTTTAATGAGTTTGAGTGAGTTTTTGAACTTTAATTTAATTAGGCTTCAGAAAGTAAAGTTCAGCAATGTTAAATATTGCCATTGATATCATTTTCAAATTTTTTAAATAAATAACACAATTATAATTAAAATAAAATATATGGAGGTTTCCCATGGAATGTCACTAAATTGAACGCGTAGTACAGAATGTGCAATTTTCCATTTGATTCACTAGTTTACAGTGCACTTTAATTGAAGAGTATTTTTGTTTTAAAGTAATATTAGTAGGCAGCTATGCTAAGGCATAAGTTGGTTACATTACTAATACCTCAGGTGGCAACTATGATAAGGTGTAAGTTCGTAATAATGGTCAGGTAGGCAAATATGCTGAGGAGTAAGTTGGTATCATTGGTCTACTCAGGTTGGCAATTATGCTGAGGTGTAAGCTAGTAACATTTCTAATACCTCAGGTAGGAAATTATGCTGATGTGTAAATTGGTAACGTAGCTTGCCTCAGTTGGCAACTATGATGAGGTGTAAGTTTGTAACATTGCTCCACTTTAGGTAGATTAATACGTAACTTTCAAATATTATTATTCCTTACTTTAGCATGAATAAGCAAAGGTAGAAATTCGTAAAAATGAGAGTTGATCCCATCTTCCAGACATTTCTGAGATTCAAAATTTTATCCCAGGGGAGGCCTCCCTCACATAATGCCACGGTAAAATAACAAATTAAAAAAAAAAAAATAATAATAATAATTTGAACAGTTGTAGCTTATGCTGAAATAAGTGTGAGTCTAAATCAGTAAATGTGCATTCAAAGATGATTGAATGATATTTATTTTAAAAAAAGTTAAAACTAACAGTGATGGTAAATAAATTAAAGTAATAACAATTTGCAACATTTATGTACTGAATTATGAGTATATTTTAGAACGATAAAATAAAGGAACTGTTTTTGTATTCAATAAATAAAAAATGTAATCCATGCATTTATTATTTACTTAATTATGATTTCTAGAATTGAAAAAGGGGTTTTCGTTTCCTAAAACTTAATGATATTTTAGTTGGGTAGTTTCCGATCATTTTGGTCTATCTGTACTTTAGTGCAGATGGCGAGAAGACTGTCAGATCAAAACAGCGAGGACATGATCTCGTCCTAAAGAAGAAATCACAGAATTTAACTTTTTTGATTATAAACAATACTAAAAATACAGCTGTTCAAAGTATCAAAATATTCCGTGTCTAAGTTGCATTCCACAAAAACTCAACAGAAAATACACTCACTCCTAAGAAAAATCGAGATCGAGGCTTGCATCACTTTATGGATCACTATGAACTCAAGTTCCGACCATTGTTTGTACTGACGAGGTTTAACATTCACGTCATTGGAACGACTTTGGACTTCTACACGTTGCACAGAGGGTTAAAAATCCAAATACCCAGTTCTGCAAAAGTCGCAGGACATATCATCGAGTGTTGCGGACATCTGACGAAATTCCTTTCTTTCTGGAATTTGGTAAGTTGAAAATACTTAATTAAACCATTGTGTAACTTGTAATTTTGTACTTATTGCGATACATACGCAACAATGACAAAGATTTATTAAATTAATCATTTTGAAAAGTCGGCTCCTCTTAAGGTTCTAAGCACGCCTTTACTAATAGTATATATAATAGAATTCGCCTAACGCATACCCCTAGGTGAAGACCTAGCCGTATACTAGCAATTTCAACATAAGTTTATTTATAACTAAAGGAAGGATATAATTAAATATGTTAAAAATACAGGACAAAAACCGGTTTAGTATGATAATTCCCAACTACTGCAAATATTTAAAAAATGTAACTTAGTCTTCCTTCTTGAAACTCAGGCCTTGGGTTTGAATAATTGCTTTTAACGAAAAGACTAATTGTAAGTGAGATTTATTTTGTTTTGTCTCATGTGGTGAACTGTACGATTTTTTGTTGAATGCTATTGCATTTTGAATCTTTTTGTACTTTAGTAATGATTAGTAATAATAGATTCTTAACTTCATAACTCCTGAGCTAGTAGCGATTGTCCCTTTGGTTGATTAGGATTCGCAGTTATTTTTTAAAATTAAATAATCGCAGCAATACTCCTATTGCAGAAATTTCTGGTGCTCTGATCAATTTTTTCAATCCTGCTGTTCAGAAAAAGCTTTTGGGCGAAAGTCCTACTAAAACATGCCTTACACTTAATCGTTAGGGATTTCGCCAATTCGCCTAAGGGCGAAGGGCTTTACTTTGAAGGGAGTTCTTTCACCATGACATATTAATTTGAACAGTATAAAAAGTTGGGGCTGTAAAATTTTTATTATTTTAATACTTTACAAACTAACAACAGCTTCTTTTATTAATTATTTACACAAAATTAATTGTTCGTTTTTCTAAAATAGTTTTACTTTCTTGCCCGATATAGAGCTATTTCATTAAGTAATATGGTATTCAGTATACAGGGTTTCGGCTACTCGTGTTACAAATTTTGCCAGTAGACTCTACATTCAAAGTGGAACCAAAAAAGTCCCAATTAACTATGGTCCGAATCTCAACAGTTTCGGTCTTAATTCCCCTTTTTCTAATTTTTTAAGATTTCACGACCTTGCTTCCAATAAACAATGATAACTCCAAAACTAAAAAGTTTTGGACAAATTCGTCGAGACCATTGAAAATACGTTAAATTTCCAATAAGATTTGATCAAACTAAACTTTACAAGTACTGTTTGGTGATTAGTGACCGTTAGTCGATGATTATTCGGAAATCGTGAGGTGCGGTCTGGTGTGTCGTAGGTTTTAGAAAAACATTTTCTTTATAGAGCCAACGTTGCGATCTTTATTGAGATCATTTTCAAGGCTCAAAGTGTTTGTTTTCTGCGTAATTGTGTCATTCTTGTGTGTCGTGTTGAGAGTGTCCCTTGGTGCCCATATGTAGTTGAAATTTGTTCATAGAATCCCATGTCCTTCGTTGTTCTCGTTTATAAGTATTAAAAGTTGGCTGTCGAGCTGGCTGTTCTCCAAAATAATCTTTTATAGACAACATCGATACACTGGTTTTACATTTTAAGATTGACAAAAAAAGTACTTGCCTAATAGAGAATAATAATAAAAAGAAACAACATTAACACACTACTGATGGGCTGAAAGGCGTCTAGTGTACAAAACAGCGAGGGTTGACAGACCAAAATGATCGGAAACGGCCAAGCTACGGGTTCATCGTTCTTCAGACTTCAAGAGGAAAATCTCATAATTTAATTATTAGACAAAAACCGAAACTCGTCTGATATAGGCAAAGCAGTGCAGATAGGTAGACCAGGAAGACAGGAAATGACTGAAAGTATCTAGGCTTCCCAAACTTTTTAGCCAGTGAACCCCTTTCACAGAACAAAATCCAGGGCGGACCCCTCGCATTCATGTATTTAAAATTTAAAGGGATATCACTATGGAAACAAATATTAGATGGACATATTTAACTTTATTTACAAAATCTGAAAATCAAAAATCAAATTAGTTAGAACGGAATCAATAGGCATGTAAAATTCGAGCCAATTGCAAAATTATTCATTTGATTAATGAATTTATGGGGAGAGTGAGGTTGTTTTCGCCTGCACAATTTGGATATGTTGGGTTTATGTTTAGACTGCTGGAGACGGATGTCATCTAGACAGCTTCGGTATTCTAGTTTTGGTGGCTGTATAGATAGAAAATGTGGCAAATAGAAGAAGAACACGTTTTGCTTTTTCAACTAGAGGTTGAAATTTCCAGACGGGGTCAAAAATGGGAGTAACTATCGGACTCGAAAATAAATTTCAAGGTGGTATCTGAAGTAATAAATATCAAACATTCGTATTTACTTCAAGATAGACGGGTTGGCCTTGTCGAAGTTGAAAACGGTTTGACCACCCATTCACGGTCTTGCAGCGTTGTATCTCGAGCTGTTGGATAGTAGTGTTCAAAGGACATCTTCTAACTTCCAAGGTGTTCACATATTCGCAAGTTGCAGTTTGTATTTTTTTTAAAATCATTTAATACGGGAAAACACTCTTACTTCTCAACAGATTCCACCCCAAACGTTTTCTTTTGAAGGCGTCAATTTTGTCATTAGCATCGACAGTTGTCATACCCTTCCCACGCCAAGAAGGCTCATCTCATTCATTTTAATGGCAATGACTTATAAATTCGACAGTGTACACCATTTCTCATCATTGAAAACGTTGGCCAATTATACTTTGTGGTCCGTCAACAGAGATAAGACTTCAAAACGTAATTCCTGTAAACGTGAAAAACAGTCACCTATCTTCTGTATGGTGAAGCTGGTGACACTCAATATCGACTCAATATGAAGACTCAATATCGACACTTAAGCATTGTGAAAAGTCTTGAATACAATGGCCACTACTTGATATAATTAAGAATTCGTGCAGAAAATCAATCCATCCAAAACTTTCTTATAAGTGGCTGGCATTGTTTCATAGTTAAGACATGTCTGTTGAGAACACAATGACTGCTGCTACAAAATAAAAACT